TAAACAGCTCATATAAAGATTATTGCCGTTTCCTTAGGTACTGTGATATTAAGTTGTAAACAGCTCATATAAAGATTATTGCCGTTTCCTTAGGTACTGTGATATTAAGTTGTAAACAGCTCATATAAATATTATTGCCGTTTCCTTAGGTACTGTGATATTAAGTTGTAAACAGCTCATATAAAGATTATTGCCGTTTCCTTAGGTACTGTGATATTAAGTTGTAAACAGCTCATATAAAGATTATCACCGTTTTCTCAGGTACTGTGGGACAAGAGATGAATTTCCTAGAACGTCCATACGATACGGTGAGTTATTGATACAGTTTTGTTTTTGTTTTTTACGGATTAAAACTGCGACAAAACATGACGTGCGATTTTATGCTAAGTATTTACCGTTGATGAAGTACCTGAGTAAGAACCAGAATATTACATAAATTATAAAACTGACACACATTGCTTTTACGACATATTTAAAATCCAACCATAAATGTAGATTCAGTTTGTTTTAATTCATAAATAAAACAATATAAAATGACAAATTAAAGGATTACTTATATCACCGTTTGTCATTTTATATTAGATTATACACACCTGTTATTTTCATACCCTGTCTCTTATGTTCAAGAAAACATTAGAAAAGCGTGATTTTGTTTACTTGGGAAACTGTCCACGGACTTGTTTGCTTGGGAAACTGTCCACAGACTTGTTTGCTTGGGAAACTGTCCACGGACTTGTTTGCTTGGGAAACTGTCCACGGACTTGTTTACTTGGGAAACTGTCCACGGACTTGCTTGCTTGGGAAACTGTCCACGGACTTGTTTACTTGGGAAACTGTCCACGGACTTGTTTACTTGGGAAACTGTCCACAGACTTGTTTGCTTGGGAAACTGTCCACGGACTTGTTTGCTTGGAACTGTCCACGGACTTGTTTGCTTGGGAAACTGTCCACGGACTTGTTTGCTTGGGAAACTGTCCACGGACTTGTTTACTTGGGAAACTGTCCACGGACAACTGAGCATCAGCGCTAGATTTTATAGATATTACAAGACCAGTTGTTGCCGTAGTCTGAACGAAGACTATTTTATTTGTATAATGTTTCGATCGTCTGACGAGAGTATCACATATCTGATCTTCAAAAATCTTGCTAGGTATCCATTTTGAATCTTACCAATAATACCCACATGAGTTGGGTTTATTAAAATACTTCCTATCAAGTGCTCAGGGTCAGGAATGTTGCCTGGTAAACAGAACAGAAGAAACCATTTAACCACCGAAGGTTTCAACACAAGACCATTTGATTCTTCAAGGCTGTCCTTGCACATACACATTCTGGAGAAAAGTAAAAATTTAAACTCCCCCTTTATAATTTACGAAATAACAGATTTCCTTTTGAACTTCGCTGTAACTCATTCCATAAGTCAATCACACGTTAGAAAAATAAAACTGTTTACTTGACGATAGTTTATTAAGCTTATGTCTTCTTTGTCTTAAGAATATAGCGCAAAGAAATCCTATTGGTCCCCCTTCCAATAGTATTTTAACTTTTAATACAATTACCTTACTTTTTAAGAGGTACCCACTTGATTTACAAACAATATGAAGTTTCGAAACAGCTATTTGTAGAATAATAGACCTATTTCAGTACAATGTTTCGTTTCTAACAGCGAGATATAATCACGTACAACATTTAAAGTACAAGACGTTCAAATTGCAAAAACATCCAATTAAGTAATTGGGTTTGATAATATCTCCCTTTGGTTTTAAATGTAATTAACTTAATACAAGTATAATGGCGCTCTTGACACAATCAAGGTAACAACTAACCATAGTACCCTTATAAATATAATTGAAACAATCAAGAAAACAACGAACCAAGAAAGAATGAACACATACAAGAACAACAATAGAACTAACCATCACATACAAGAACAACAATAGAACTAACCAACACCCAAGAAGAGCAATAAAATATATGTATTTATGGATTAATACCATTCGTAGGTGTTATTAGTTAAAAATTAATTACATTATGATATACATTAAAGGTGAAAACCCTATCAAAACCGGGAATTAACATTAAAAGTTTTCTATCAGTTATATATTAATGAAAAATATTTGGCAATGGCACGTGTTTAGATAGTAAAAGTTCCTAAATAGGAGAAACACGTAGGAAAATATCAAAGAGATGCAAGGAACATGAAAAACGAAATAATCAACCGTAGACGAACATATAATTGAAAAATAAAAACGAAATAAATTTTAAAGATATTAAAATATTGAATATAGAGAAACCTAAGCAAAAGAAAAAATCTGGAAGCACCAATAATCAAAGAATTAAAACCTAACATTAATAAATCAGCTGGAGCGACATTATATTTGTATTGATTAATTACATTTAAAAACCAGGTGGAGCCAGTATCATAAACTACATTATTTGATTGGATTTATTTACAGTTTGAATGTTGTACGTGATATAGGTCTATTATCATAGAAATAGCTGTTTCAGATCTTCATATTTTTAATAAGATTATCTCTTATAGAGCAAGTTTTACTTTGGTTAATCCGTGTTGTTTAGTAAAGTACGATGTTATAAGACTAATTTCTTACCACTATAGAAGCAAGACTGGTTGGCTCACAATTTTCAGAAGAACTTTTATCAACTCCTTTAACATTAGCGATACTCTATTTTACAAGCACCTGCTCAGTGCCATTTGACCTACCAAAACTGAAAGAGGTTCACGACCTGTGACCTCCTTTAAAGACCTTGAGAAAACATTAACAGCCACTGGTGCTTTATCCATTTAGAATTTCTCAATCTTTCTACTTACCCCAATATATTAATATCCAAAAGACGATCGAATTTCCAATAGAATGTTTAATCAGGAATACTGCCAATATATTTAGATTGTAAAAACAGAAGAAAACATTTAAAAACTCAGCCATCACACAGTCTTCAAAGAACTTGTACCAGCATCCTTAAGGTACCAATCCCCATTTAAACATCTTGCTTACCTTTACATACTTAAAAAAATCCTGCTTCTTAACTTTAACATTATCATCAAGCTGTTTCTCATAAGCTTTTTTGAATATAAAAGTATGGTAAGCAGGAAGAAGAAACATCTAGCAATTAATACCAATTTTTTTGATCAGCGAAAGCTACCTACTTAAAGCGAAACTAAAAATCAACCTGATAATGTGTATAGCTAATTAAATATACCTTTCTTACGTTCTTACTTATAAAGATTATAAGTATTGTTAAAGATAATTTCGGTCGTAATCCTAATAATATCTCATGATGTTCGGCCAGCTTAGTAGATTTAGGTTAGTCCTAAATACTCATATTAAGCTAATAATGGAAAACAATATCTATAATATAGTTGAAAAGTACGAACATTCGATAGATTAAACAGTCTAACCAATACTGTTGATGACAGTAACAATAGATAAATATAGTAAACTTTAGTTAGGGAACGCAGAAACACCAGCAATTGGCTTGAACTACTGTCGTAAAGTTAAAGGTAATCAAGTTTTAAAGCGTCCTAGCTATTGTAATAATTCTACTTTTGTAACGTATCAAAGAATTACGTTATTAGTAGGGTAAGATAACTCACACGTTTATTTAAGCATATTACAAGATTTACAAATTTCAGAAATAAATTATTTGTTGTTTAACCAGGACTTTGTAACTTAATATTTCAAAGAAATATACAAAAAAAGCAACATTGTTAATATCAAAATACTGAATTAAGAAAAAGAAGCAGAAGAAGCTAAACCCTAATACGTAAGATTATACAAAAGATAAATATTAAACACTTTTTAATATTATCTCAAATAATTATCAAGCAAGTATTTACAATAAAATATCATTACTTTTAATAATCAACGAATATATCTGACGTGTTGCAGTCTCATAGCTCTTACCAGTCTTTCTTAACTTCAAATCATAGGCTCTTTATTCCTTTCTAGACCTACATATCACATGGCTAACAAATTAGTATTTGTTTTTTATAATCATACATATCCCTACGCCACCGCTACGGAAACCTCTTAACGTAGAAATGGCTTATTTAATATTTAATATATACACTAGGAGGCAGGTGAGCTAGAGTTTTAAGGCAAATAAAATTGCAGTTTAACTATGAAAGGAAAGAAATACCTAAACGACAAACAATACATTAACTAAATATATATATATATAAAACACTAACTCACAGTTTTAAATTAGATTGTACTGAAATCAAAACAGGCCGTTCCTAAAAAAAAATAAAGAAACATCAAATCTAATTATCAAACTATGGATAAAATTAGAGATAAATAGACGAGTTTAAAGTGACAGTTAGGATGGAAGAACCATAGAAAAGCTATAACGATGGTTGTAAAATAAAATGGTCATAAGAGAAACAGCTGATCGATCATGTTAACTAATAGCAATAATATCTTAAATATGCTAAAGGTTATAATTTACTGTAATAATGGGTCCTTAAAAAGAATGATAATATTAAGGTGTATATATGGATGAGCTTTTAAATATTCTCTTTTCTGTTGTGTTTACAACAACATTCCTGATCTTGAGTACTCTATTGGAATTTATCTGAATTATGTCGATATTAATCTTCCGATTGTTACTAAATGTTTGAGACGTTAGAATATATAAAGAGCCAGAACAGGTTTTAAAGAACTTCAAATATCAGTTATGTATTCAGCTAAGAACTGATTTATGTACATACTGATTATAAGTTAAAAGAGGAAATTTTCTTTTTAAATAAATCTCTAGTTAAGCCTCATTTAGAAAATCATGTACAGTTTTGGTTTACTTATTTGAGAGAATATATTCAATTATTTGAAATGGTTTAATAGGATGACTCCTGGAATAAAAGTGTTATCTTGTGAGAAAATGTTAAGGTTTTTTTTATCTTCTCTTGAGAAAAGGAAGGATAAAATGGGGATCTTAATAAAATTTACAAGATTATCCTAAGGATTAAAAGGATAAAGGCCTCTGATTTCTAGGTGCTGAATTATGAACAATAAAACGAGACGACACAAGTTTATAGTTTATAAACGACAGGCTAAGCTCAAGTTGAGACAGTTTTATTTTCCTAACAGGATGATTACCTTATGGAATGAGGTACCATCTGCAGTAGTGGAGGCTGACACCTTACAAGAGTTTAAGAGGGGGACTGATGGTTTCTTGAAAAGTAAATGGTGGGTTTATTTTTGCTTTTGCCTTTCTTGGGGATGGATGTTTAGGTACAGTCTTGAAGCCTTATTCATAAGTTATGTAACACCATTAAATTCTAGTTATTATGAATATATTTATTTTCAAAATAAAAACTTGATATGAGATCTCCATGATTACACTTGACTATATTTGTGGACTAAAGCATCTTCTAATGTTCACCACAGGCTTCACATAGTCAGACTACTGGTTTCTCAGCATACCAGCCTACATCACCTTGTCGTCCTCATCCTGTTTCCCCACCAGCACATGTGCATCCATATAGCTCTCCTGCTTGTCATACGCTTCATTCTGGAGTCCATTATGGTGCTACACCACAGATTTCTTTATATGGAGCCACTCAGAGCCCTTATGGACCTGTGAGTCAAGACTTATATGGAGGTCGTCATTCTTTATACAGTACCAGTGTCCATAGTTTGCAGCAAACCAAATCAGCTTGGCAAGACTCAGGCATGATGCAGTCATACAGTCGATCAGCTTCCAAGTCTCCAGCCATGAACACGTCTCCACATATGCCGCCACCTTCTATGAAGTCATCTTCACATGCTCTTAGTATTTCTGGACCACATCTTACTGCTCCTTGTCATTTCAGACAAATGACCATAGGATCGTCACCTAGCCCATCATCACATACTTGGAACCAGTCTCAGATACCTAGTCCTGGAGTTCGTTCATCTCCCAGAACCACTCCATCACCTCTAGCTGTCAATTCTTGTTCTCCTGTGAATGGTCAGCCTTTCTCTCCTACTTCTTCAGGTCACTCTCCTCACCACCTAATATCTCACCTGCAGCCTCAAAATTCAACTCCACCTCCTCCAAAAGGGGGCTGCTCCACCCCAAATGAACAGCCATTGTGTAACAGATCTAATGAACAAGTGGTAAGCTCCAATCCCTTACAATCCCTTCAGAAAATGGTAATGCTGGACAATGACTCTGTGAGCTCGTCTATCAGTAGAGCCAGTTATGATATGGCCAATAGTCAGCCTACTATTTCTGTTACCACCAGGTCTGGTTCCTATTTCTCTTCAGTAGAACAGTTGGCTGGCTGTGAACCTGGGTCCCCATTTCCCACTTACTATAACCTGGATCAAAACAGGTTGTCTACTCCTCCTCATCCAGTAAGCTCCATGGCTATCACTTCTTCCTATCCCTTGAGGCTGAGAACAGCTTCTCCTGTTTCTCAGCAAGCACTTATTGAAAGTTTGAATCCAAATGACTCATCTTTAGAGACTCCAATCAATGGTGCATCACAGTCAACAAGTTCCAATGTAAGTCATCCTCCTGGGCATGTGTCTTTAAGTAGTTTAGAAAACGAAAGCCAACAATATGATCAAAACGATCAAGGTTTTATTGACTGTGAAAATACAGCCGTATTAGAGCATCAAGGGGACTCATGTTTAAATTGTGGAAAAAATGGATACAGTGATATTGAGTTAACCTTTAATTCTGAGAATCAACGTTTTGATAAGCAAGGATGTGGTAAAGACTTAAAATCTGAAATAGTGACTCTAGGACCAAAAGAAAATATGGATGATAGACGTTTTGAAAGTCTACAAGGAAAGAAGAACATTAGATTCAGAGAAGATGAATTTGCTAGTGGTGAGTTGGAAGTTAGTGTTGATGATTTTAAACAGTCATCTCTACTCCCTACATGTCCTAGGTGGAACAAAATCTTTGATGCTTATGACAGTCACTGTAATTCAAATGAAAAGCATCATTTTCATGGTAATGGAGATGCTATTGGTCTACACGTTAACCAAAGTCCGAGAAGACAGAGAAGTACAACAGAATTTTTGGACAAGAATGTTTTAGATGACCATAATGGTACAACAAAACAAAGCTCATCCAGAAACTCGACTGGAAGAGGACGTGGACGTGGCAAGAAATCTAGTGGAGGGGGAAATGTTGATAGTTTTGCAAGTGATAGCATTTATCGATTATATCAGACTTCTTCACTGAATGTTGAAAACAGGCCTGCGGAAGTATGGCATGCTCAGATTCAGCAGACTTATCCTACATCTGTCTATCAGACCAGGGAGGCAGGTTTTTACTCTGGTAACAGTCCAATTACTTCTGATTGTCATGGAGTGCAGAGTTCAGCACTTCACGGTATTCTAACGCTTCAACTTCTCATTTATTGGGTCCTCATTTTCCTTCAACTACAGATGCTTCTCTCACACATGATGATTCTCTTTTGTTTCCTCCTAAGAAGAAGAGAGGTCGTCCTTTTGGTAGTAAAAACAAGCCCAAACCGCCAGGGATGGAAATTAAACGAAAACCAAAATATAAGAAGAAAACAGAAATTTATTTACCTGAAATGGAACCGGATACCAAGACAAAGGTTAGAAGTTTTAATGGTCCTTACATTCATATTATGGGGACCAAGGAAAGACCTCTGTCTGTTGAAGTTGTTAACATTCTACTAGGAGAGGAAATGAAGCAGGTGAAGAATGTTAAACAGAAAAGACAAGTTCTGGATAGCAATATTCGTAAGAAACTGCAGTTTGGACACATTAGTACCTTGTCACCCATGTATAATGCTAATACAAAGGACAGAACCTGGGTTTGTGTCCTCTGCTTTTGGGGGAGCCACAGTCGGGGGTTGGGTGATCTCTTCGGACCATATTACTTAAATGAGTATCAGATACTATCCAATGATGAAGCCTCCACTTCAGGGACAGTTACACCAGCCTCTGTTACTCCTGATCCACGGGATGACATGGAGATGAAGGCAGCTCTGACTCAAAGTGTGCAAGAAAAACATAAATGTTCTGAACAGGTAGAATTATCAAGAACAGATATCAACAAAAAAGTGAGTATAACTGTATAAGTTAAATTACTTAGGTTTTGATAAATATATTTTATAACAATTTTTATGAATACAAACATAAGCTCCCAAACATAGTTAAGACATATTCCAAGGATTTTGACATTAATGAATACTAATATTAAAATTTTAAGTTTCTGCTTTTAATCTTTATTACTAATACCTCCACAATAAAATTTTGGTTGGTTGTTTGGTTGTTATTAAGCACAAAGTAACCCAGTGGACTATCTGTGCTCTGCCTGGTTTTTAGCATTGTAAGCCTGCAGACTTACTGCTGAGCAACTGGGAGGGTTATGTTTTCATCTTGAACACAGCAGTCATCAGAAATGTTAAAATAGGCATTTTAAAAGTACCAAGTCGGATTTTATCACTTTTTTTAACATTTAAAAAATTTGGATGTGTGTGCTCCTGAATATAACTATCACAATTTGATGAAAGAACATATAAACAAGATGAGACAATCATACTTTTTTATGATCATGTGTTTTACATTAACAAATTTCATAATCTCAAAACAAAACTCTTTTTTAAAAAGTATGTTACTTCTACATTTGGTTTGGTATATAAACAATATGTAGAAACACATAGCAACATACCAAACTGCCATGACAGCCAATCAGAACTTTGCTGGATGCATTTCATTGCCAGTAGCATAGTTTATAACAAATTCACTCTAGTTGTTTTAAGTTGTATTGCTATTTCAACACTTAACTCGGGATATGCTAGTGCTACTCTTTAACAACTACTCTTAACATGAAAAGATCACTGCATTTATGATTTGGATTTGTTAACTGCTTGTTAGGGTTAGTTATAATAACAATTTATATATTGAAAATAATGAAAAAATTATATAATGTGTAACAACTGAATAACAGTCAGTACAATATGTAATGTGTAACAACTGAATATCAATACAATATGTGATGTGTAACAAATCAATATCAATACAATATGTGATGTGTAACAACTGAATATCAATACAATATGTGATGTGTAACAACTGAATATCAATACAATATGTGATGTGTAACAAATCAATATCAATACAATATGTGATGTGTAACAAATCAATATCAGTGCAGTATGTGTAGCAATTGAATATCAGTACAGTATGTAATATTTAACAACTGAATATCAGTACTGTATGTGTAACAGCTGAATATCAGTACAGTATGTAATATTTAACAACTGAATATCAGTACTGTATGTGTAACAGCTGAATATCAG